CCCAAGAGCTAACCAGGGCCATCTTCGGGTCATAATTAGGGTCGCACAGCCTGGGGCCTTCATTGCTCGGGTTGAGCTCACTCGGAACCATCTCGCGCGAAGGCGCTCGTTCAGGGCGAGGCGCAGGGCGACAGCCCGACGCATGCAAATATGGACAAAGTTTTTGGCCCTCCACCTCGCGAAGCATGATGCTGCGGACAGGTTGTCGCTCATCGGCACGACGTGCCCGCCCTCCCGCGGCGAGAGACTGGACTGGATCTCGACGGCGACAGGGAGAGCCCGCGACTCATGAGCCCAAATATAATCCGTCGCGCTGCGCCGCCCGCGGGCGACCAACTCTGTCCAGCGGGATCCCGACAAGATCTCCGCTGCCGTCTCCTCGAAATGCGCTCCACTCGACTTGCGGCGCGATCTCATATGCGTCCTCAAGCTCAGCCACTGGCCCGAGGGCCCCCATCACTCGCCATCGCGATGCCGTTCGTCGCGAAGAAGTGCGCCCGAGCTGATCGCGGCGAAACCTCGACCGCTCCTGCGCGCGGCCGATCTCCTTCACGGTCCCCTGCTCGAAAAATGAAGCACTCACCGCGTAGCCGTGCTCCGGCGCGTCGGACGGGCACACCAGCGGGCTCCGCGGCAGCGCCCAGTCGCCCCGCAGCAGCGGCATCAGGCCTCTGAAGGCCACCAGCCCCGCCCGCGCGGTCGGCCACAAGGGCGCCCCTAGGCGGTCGTTGGCAGCGATGAACTTGCAGATTGCACTGAAGACTGGCAGCGCGGCGCGGTTGCACATTGCACAGCAGGCGCAGTGGCCAGGCGCGATCCCCCAGACCCAGCCAGGAAGCGCGCGGCAGCTCGGCGCCCAGTTGAGCCCGCGGCGGACCCGCCAACAGCGCCTGGCCGCCAGCCGGGTGGCCATCGCCGCGCCGCCCAGGACACAGCCCAGCGTCTCGCCGCGACCCAGCTGGATCTCCGTCTCGCGCGCGCAGGCCCACCGCGTCAAAGCGCTCAGTGGCCGCGCCCAGCCCAGCAGCAACCTCCGCCTGACCGAAGCCCAGGACTCCCAGGTTACCTACGTAGGTGCACTGGGCTCCACCTCCGCGAGAGGGAGGGGCAGTCGGGCGCAGCGCCGCGGTGGGCCCGCGGTCGGTCATTCGAGGCACCTAACTGGGCGCCGGGGCCTCCTGCATCACGGCCTCGCCCACCTCGCGGCGCAAATGCAGCAGCCAAGTGGGCCCGCGGGCAGTGCCGCGCAGGCGGGCACCTGGAGACACTCGGCCGCCAAGGGCTCGCCGTCCAGGATGGAACCAGTCATGCCCACCTCGTGCGCCTGCACGGCCCGCAGACAGAAGGAAGCCGACAGGTCCCCGTGGATCCTGAAACGGTGGAAGGCGTCGCTGATGTCTGAGGTGCCCGGCGTGAAGTCTGCGTCGGCAGCTCCTCGGTCAATGGGGGTCGAGACCCTCGGCCTCGAGGCGAGCCAGGCCCTCCGCGGTCACTGGAGACGCTCCTGGAGGCGAGGTAAAGTGCAGGTTGCTCCTCCTGGCGTCGATGATGAGGCGACGCTGGCCACTCTCTTGGCCGCGAAGAAAATCCCCACCTCCTCGCGGCGCCCGGCATCATCCAGGGAGGTCAGCATGCCATCGGAATAGACAAGATTGGCGAGGCGCGCGCGCGCGCAGCCTGCGATTCCGAGCAAGTGCAGGGCCCCAGTAAGGAACGATGCCACATTCATTCATGCGATGGTAAAGGCTCTCCTTCTCAAGAAGCATCCGAGAATATCCGCCTGCGAGAAACCGGTGTGTCTGGACAGGTGCGATCTCTACCAGCCGCGGCCCTCCCACCGCAGTCTGAGGTACGGAAATTCGCCCCACCTTGCGAAGACGTCCGACGTTTCGTCCGGCCGACTCGTCGTAGACACTGCGGCCGCGCAGCAGCTCTGAGAACGCTGCCCGCGGGGAGGGGATCGCGGTCTCCAGCGGCGGCCTGCTCTCGGCGATGCAAATCTAGGGTCCGCGCGCGCACCCTCATCTGGTCAAAATTGGGCAAGCTGCGACTGGCCTCGCGGTTGGCCAACCAATTCAAGGCATCCACGACATTGTTGAAATCGCGACGAGCTCGCCCGGCGAGCTGCGCAGCCCCGCGGCCCTGGAGCCGCGCGTCGCTGATAGCGGCGTCGCCCGGCCTTGGCAGGGGGGAGAGCGGCAGCAAATCCACCCCGACTTCACGCTTGGGTTTTGCGCTACCGACGGGTCGCCCACCCCCGTCGGCGGAGGACGTCGTCCTCCCTCGGGCGCGGTGAGATTGCCACCGCACCCGCCGCCACCGCGCCCAGCCGCTCCAGCCGTCGCCGCGACCGCCAGCTCCGCGCCCGCCAGCGTCGCGCCCTCGGCCGCGCCCGCGGCCTCGGCCGTCGGCGCCGGCACCAGCAGCGGGCAGGCCCTCGCCTGCCTCTAGCGCCAGCGGGCTGGGCGGCTGCGCACCTGCCGCACGGCTCTCCCAGTTCTCCAGCTCCATCTCCTCCTTGTTGCGGCGGAACACCGCCGTGCGCAGGGCGGGGTCGATCACGTCCACCGGGTCTGCCAAGCCCGTGTAGTGCCGGAGGCCGCCCCACTTCGGAGGCTTGGTCGGATCGCCCGAGTAGGCCTCCACGATCTGCGACACTCTGCGGCGCAGCACTTCGGCGCTCGCCATGCTGGCCAAATCGAGCACGCCTCTGAGAAGGGATGCACCGTACCGTCCCAAGCCAACATCTCCTCGGGGTCGGCGACCGCACCTCCGGCGTCATAGCGCAGCTGATCCGAACGAGAGGTCATCACCAGACCTTTGAAATGCTGCCAGCCAACGGGCTCCGAGAACCTATAGAAGGCGCTGTGAACCAGAGGCCGTCCCATCTGGAGCGCAGGCGAAGGCCCTGTTGCAGCCGTCGCCGACGGTGCCCGTGACATCCTCCACGTGCCTATCAAGATCGGGAGTGAGGATCCACCAATATGTCCTGTGTCCCCCCCGCAGGATACAGTAGGAGGCGCTCGTGCCACGCAGTATCCCGTGGATACCAGAGCCCCAGCCGCAGGCCAGGTCGCAACTCACTGCACCACTCTCCCACATCGGCGCTTGTGCCGTCCGCCCGCAGGACTGTACGACCTCCTCGGCGCCGACGAAGGGGAGCCAGCATGTCGACGGGCGGACGCAGCGCAACAGCAGCCCACCAGGATCACGAGCTCGCTCGCGGCGAGCCCCCACGTCAGCACAGCGAATGGAGAAGCCTCTGGCGCCAAGGCTGGGCCGGCCTCGGGCGGCGGCTCCGCCCTTGGAGGGCCAGCAGGGCCCGTGGGCGGCAGCCGCTCCAACAGCGCCGCTGCCACCGCCTCCGCCGAGGGGCAGGTGGCGGGTGCCGGGGAGGCGTTGGCCAGCCACGGCACGAGCCCTTCCACCACCGCAGCCGCCACGGCCTCCGCGCCCAAGCCAGGAGGCGGCGGCGGCGGAGGCGGCGGCGTGGGCGGCCAGGCGGGCTGGTGGCACACGCAGGCTGGGCAGGTGGTGGAGGCCGCCACCACCGCCGCCAGCCAGCCGCCCGCCAGCCGCAGGCCCGCCCAGGCCGCGGGGGCACCGACCGCGGCGCTCACCGCCAAGGTCGTGCCAGCGCCTGAGGCCATGGCCCGGCCCCCGCTCATGCACTTGAGCGGAAGATATCGCGGAAGCACAAGACAACATCGTGCGGAACACTCCGATTGAAAGATTTGGGCATTTGCTTCCTTTCGGCCTTCCGACGGCTCAAGACGGCCCAAGAGGCCCCCAAGATCGCCCCAAGATCGCCCACGAGGTTTCCAAGATGGCCCCATGACGGCCCAAGAGGCCCCCAAACGGGCCCCAGGAGGGCCCCAAGACGGGCCAAGAGATCTCCAAGACGCCCAAGATGGCCTCTAAGACGGCCCCGAAACGCCCCAAGAGGGCCCCAAGTCGGCCCAGAGAGGCCCCCAAGACGGCTCCCGACGGCGTCAGACGTGCCAGGAACCCACCAGGATGGCCGAAGTTGGCTCGAAGCTGGCCCAAGACGGCCCAAAAAGCCTCCAAGAGGGCCTCCAGGAAGGCCAGAAAAGGCCCCAAACACGTATGTTCCGTAGGTTTTTGGCGGATTCTGACATTTGCTTCTTTTCGGCCTTCCGACGGCCCGAGACGGCCCAAGAGCCCTCAAAGATCGCCCAAGAGGCAAGATGGCCCCAGAACGGCCCAAGAAGCTCCCAAGACGGCCCCAAGAAGCCCTCAAGACGGCCCAGGAGGCCGTTAAGACGCCCAAGATGGCCTCCAAGATGGCCCTGGAGCATTCCAAGAGGGCCCCAAGTCGACCCAGAGGCCCCCCAAACGGCTTCCGACGGCGTCAGACGGGCCAGGAGCCCACCAAGACGGCCGAAGATGGCCCTAAGATGGCCCAAGACGGCCCAAGAGGCCTCCAAGAGAGCCTTCGGGAAGGCCCGAAAAGACCAACATCATGGATTTCCCATGAGTGTTTGAAGGATTGTGGCATTTGTTTTTTTCCGGCCTTCCGACGGCACGAGACGGCCCAAGTGCCCCCAAAGATCGCCCAAGAGGCCCAAGACGGCCCCAAGAGGCCCCAAAGACGGCCCAAGAGACCTCCAAGACGCTCAAGGTGGCCTCCAAGAAGGCCCAGGAGACCTCCAAGACGTCCTCCAAGAAGGCCCGAAAGGGTCAAAATGGCCTCCAGACGGCCAAGATGACCTTCAAGATGCCCACGTGTTCCCCGAAGGCTTTCCAAACCGACTCGGGGAACACATGGTCCGATAGCTTGGCAGGTCTTGCCTCAACGTTCGGCCACATAGGCGCTTCCAAAAAGGCAGGGGGCGGCGGTGATTCGCCGTAGGCGTCTTCGATAATCAAAAGAACTCCAAGAAACCCCCAAAAGACGCCCAAGAGGCCCTCAGGAGCAGCGCGCAACAACCGCCTGTCCTCAAAGGCGTCGGCGGCACGGCGTAAGCCTGAGAATCCACGCCCGGACTGCAGCGAAGCGTCTCGGCAGCCCTACAGGACGGGCGCGTGGCGCGAGGGCCCGGCAGGCGGGGGAGGGGTGCGTGAGCGTGCGGTCGTCAGTGCGCGGGTGTCCGTGGATGTCTTCGTGGTCGCGTGGCGCGCCGGCAGGGGGGCGCCGCGGGGGGGGGGGCGGGGGGGCGGCGAAGCGGCGGCCTGCGCGCGGGGGCTGGCGAGGGCAGGAGGGGGCGGACGCGGGCCGGGGCCCCCGAGACGGGGCGCGAGCGCCCCGTGTGGGACCACAGCAGCGCCGGGGCCCCCGACGTCACGACCTGTCGCGCGACGTCGGCCCGAGAACTCGCCATCGCTCGGGCGTCCATTTCCCGTGCATTTTTCGGTTTCGTGCGTTTTTTTTTTGCTCGATGGTCCAGGATGGTCCTCGATGGTCCTCGCCGAGAAAAAATGCACACGTCCGAGCGATGCCAAGAGAAGAGGTCTCGACCACCTTGCAGGGTCCAGGTCTCATCTTGAGCCCTTCTTGTTTTGCAGGGCCTGGCCAGGGCCCCCGGAGGCAGAACATGGGCGGAGGCACGCAGCTCCGTTTGCTAGATGTGAGGTGTCCCCACTTGCCCCACTCGCCAAACAGGCCCCACTTGCCCCACTTGGCCCGTCTTGCCCCAAGTGGAGCAAGTGGGGCCAAGCAGCTCCCTCACTTCCCAGCAATTGGGGCTAAATGACCCCCCACATTCCTCGGGCGTGCGCGGGCGGGAGGGGCAGGGGGCCTCTGGAAGCGCGCTGCAAACACCCGCCCACAGGTGCTCAAGGGGGGGGGCTAGCGCACTTATGGAAAGGAAGCCTCCGAAAAGCGCAGAAACATTGCAGACGGCTGAAAGCTTGAATCCTCGACCCTCGAGCGGCGGCGGCGGGCGCCTTGCATCTTCCTCCTGGGTCCTCTCCCTTAGCCTCCCTCGTCCTCCTCGTGCTCCTCCTGGACCCCCATCGGGGCCGCGGAGAAGCCCGGGAGGCCCCCGGCGGCCTCCGGAAGCTCCCCGAGGCCAGCGAAACCTTGAACGCAGCCGAAGCCTTCCTTCCTCGACCCTCGAAGGGCGGCTGCGGCGACATCGACGACGGGGCCGGCTGGCCGAGCGTCGAGCTGCAGGGGAAGAGGGGCTGCGGCAGAAGAAGGAGATCACCCTCAGACCACCTGCCGCCCAAAGGGGGCTGGTGGGATTTGGGCCGCTGGCGGCCGGCGTGCGCCCCTTCGCGCTCCATACTTCACCGTTTGCGCGTCGGGGGTTGCTGGAGGTGCCCCTGGCCCAAGGCACCCCCAGCTTTGTCGCTCCATTTTCGAGCCCCCGGGGACCCTCCGAGCCTCGCGGGGGGTGCTCTGGGGCCGCGGGGGCCTCCTGGGAAAACCCTGGGGGCACCCTGGGCCAGGGGCGCGCCTGGCAGCACCCGACACGTGCAGCCACACAGCTTCGGCCGTCGCTCGCTCGCTCGCTGCCTCGCCCGCCTGCCCACCTGCCCGCTCGCTCGCTTGCCCGCTCGCTCGCTCGCCCGTCTGGAGGAGGGGCGGGCGCCGGAGCCGTCCGGGGCCCTCCTCGCGACGGCCTGCGGACCCCTGTCCGCAGACGCGCCCTCCGCAGCGCTGCCAGCGGTGGAGTGGCTGAGGGCTCGATGGAGGGCACGACGCTGGAGCCATCTTGGGTGCTTGACCCTTCTCCCTCCCGACCGTCCTCCTTCCGCCCTTTGTTATTCCTCTTCTTCTTATTATTCGTGTTGTTGTTCATAATCTGTTGCGTTTTCTTGTTCTTCCTGTTATTCGTCGTTTGTTTCTCATTTTCTTGTTATTCTTCTTGATGCCTCCTCTCTCTGCGTTCGGTTCCCTCCCCCTCTCCCCACCCTCTTTCATGTTGCTCTCTTTTGTCACTCCACTCCGCCCCTTCCCTCCCTTCGTCGAGTCTGTTTTTGTTATTCTCCCTCATCGTTCGTCCATCCCCGTTTCCCTCCCTCATCTCTCGTCTTCCCCATCTTCCCTCCTCTTCCCTTTCTTCCTCCCCCATCGCTCGTACCTCTACTATCCCATTGCCTGCTTCCTGAGCCTTGCCAATCCCACATCCGCACTCCCTTCCTCCCTCTTCAGCCCCCCCCCCCGCCCTCGCCCCACTCGTCCTCCTTTGACGTACGTCATCACAACGACCTCGAGCAACTCGCGGTCCCCCGATGCTGAAAAGCAGCGGGCTGGCTCAAGGCCGTCCGTTCGCTCGATCATCAGCATTGAAGGGCGGCGGATTCACCGAGAGCATTCTGGCTAACTGCCGGCCGCGCCCACACTAATCATGTGAGTGTGCTCTGCGCTCGGGGTCAGCATTGAGGGATGGCGGATCCATCGAGAGCGTTTTGATGAAGTGTCGGCTGCACTCTTAACTACAGATGCGATTGTGCTCCGTACTCGGGATCAGCATTTTGAGGGCATTGATTTGCAACCGCATTGCGACGTTGCACTTGCAAGGTCTAGGTGAGCACTGCAACCCATGCATCTATGCCTGTGCTGTTTTTGCATGGTCTGCATCCTGGCCGCGCCCATTCGGGGGGCAGCTCTGTTAGGTAAGCGCGGTGCGCAGGGCAAACCAATGCATCCATGCTTGCACTGCCTTTGCAAGGCCTACATCGTGACTGCGCCCATGTGATGGGGAGTTATGTTAGGTTACTTGTGTCAGGGGTGGTATTTTCTTCGTCCGGCAGAAATACAAAAGAAGGAACATGCGAAAGTGCTGCGATGGTTTCGATGGGCGGCCAAGCTTCTGCGAAACGCTTGGACCAAGCAAGAGAGATCATCAGCATGCCATATCATATACAATGTGAGGTACACACAGCCCATCTCATATAACATTGCGTGTTGCTGACTTCGGTGCGGAAGAGGAGTAGGAGGACGAGGAGGAGGAGAAGGAGGAGGAGGACGAGGAGGAGGAGGAGGTGGACGAGGAGGACGACAACGAGGGGGAGGCAAAGGAGGACCAATAGGAGGAGGAGGAGGAGGAGGAGGAGGAGGAGGAGGAGGAGGAGGAGGCACCTCGGCTTTGGCTGGGAGGGTTAGGGTCTGTCGAAGGTGGCACCGATGGGCAAGCACCCATGGCTGTCAGGCTGTTGGGAAGGAGGAGGGGCTGGCACGGGGCGGGACTTGCCCCAACTCCCCCTTCCTCCCCTGGAATTGAGGAGACCTATTGGCCCCGCTTGGACCAACAAAACCCATCCCCACAGGTACTCAAGGGGGGTGGTCGAGCACCTGTGCGACGCGGCCCCCATAGGTGCTCGAAGGGGGGGGGTCCGCACCTGTGCGAGACGGGAGCGGCCCTATGCGCCGCTACTTGCAATGTGGCCCACTTGCCCCATTTGCCCCACTTGCTCAACTTGCCCCATCCCGCCCGCGCAGGCTCGAAGGCAAACGTCCTGGAATGGGGCCACTCGGCCCCCCTTGCCCCACTTGGGCAAGGGGGGCAAGTGGGGCAAGGGGGACCAAGTGGGGCAAGTGGGGCAAGCGGACCACATTTCAAATAGCGCAGCGGAGCTGCATGTGCAATCGAACGTGGCCAACAGCATACCGTCGCGGTTCCTTCGTGACCCGAGGAGAAGGAAGAAGGACGAGGGGCCATCTCCCGACTACCACACTTGGGCGGAGATGCGGGAGCTCAAGTCCTGGAGCAGCACCTGCACGGCCTGGAGGTCCACAGCTCTCGCGGGCCTCTTCAGCAGGGAGGCGCCGTCCACCAGCTCCTGGCAGGAGAGCTGGCCGTCGCCGTCCGTGTCCAGCATGGCGAACACCCTGTCAATGTCAGACAGATCTAAGCCCATGGCGCTCAGCCACTCCTCCACCTGCTTGTTGCTCAGCACCTTCTTGAGCTCGTCCTGGTCTACCAGCCCGCTGCCGTCCTTGTCCGCGTTCTGGAAGAACTCGGTCAGCTTGGCGCTCTGCGCCTTCGCGGCTCTCCTGACCTCGTTTAACATTATGCTGTCGTCGAGGGCCGCGACCTTGAACGTCTCGTTAAGGAAGACACCCGAGATCACTTCGATCACTGCGAACCCGAAGACCAGTTGATGGCAAATGCCGAACAACATGAACGACTCATTGAACTGCGTGAGAATCCGTGTGATGCTGTACCAATTACCCAGCAACATCTCAATCATTGTCAATAGCGACTTAGTGAAAGTGCCGTAGTACGCGTAGAGCATCTCCCTGGATTCGAAATCAAAGTCCTCGTCCTCCCAATAGTCCTTCATCAGTAAGTTGAGCGCCAAAGCGAACATCATCTCTCCCATTAGCAGTACGGCGCTGGCCCACCCGAGGGCCGAGACACTGCCCTTGATCGCCTGCAACATCAAGTAGAGCGAACCGAAGCCTCGGATTGTCTTCACCACTCGCAGGAAACGCAACAGCCGCGCCATTCGTGCCAGGCGGATCAAGGTCGGCGGGAACGGAAGGTCGCTCGAGAGCACCTCGACCCAAAAGAAGACGACTACGAGGATGTCGACTATGGCCCACGAGTCCCTCAGGACCTTCCTGGGTATGGCCACAAATTTGAGCGCAAGCTCGAAGGTAAACAACACCCCAAAGAACCACTCGAGCCCAGAGAAGGCACGGTCAGCCCCTGGCCAGACCTTGTCGGCGGGCTCCGTCATGCGAGGCGCCAGGCCAGAATCGTACCCTGACTCCATGCCTTTGTACTGAGCCTCCACTGCGATGCAGAGCGTGTTCAAAAAAAAACGCCAGCCCAACGGGCCAGAGGCGTGCTAAGATCTCCGGTAACTGCTTTACAGTATTGCTACTTCGCGCGCGCGGGGCGGCCCCTGAGGGTCCCCGGACGAAAAGCACCCCGGGCAGGTCCCAAAAACTCGGATCAGAAATGGTTTTCCTCCTGGGCGCCGCCCTCGAGGCCGTCCAGAGCCCCAAGAAAGGCCAAGAGGCCGGCAAGAGCCCCTCAAGATGATACAAGAGAGCTCCGAGATGCCACAAGATCGCGCCAGACGGCCTCCAAGAGCACTCTCAAGAGGGTCCCAATAGGCACACATCATTGCTTTCCCTTAGGTTTTGAATAGATTTGTGCGTTTCCACCTTTTCGGCTTCCCAACACCCCAAGGCGGCCCAAGAGGCCCCCAAGACCGCCCCAAGAGGGCCCAAAAGGCCGGCCCGAGATGGCTCCAAGACGGCCCAAGAGGCCTCCAAGACGGCCCAAGAAGGCCCCAAGAGACGTGCCAGGTGGGGGACACGAACCAACATTTCGAGCCCTCGGCCTTAAGAAGCCCCCAGGAGTCCCCAAGAGGCCCCCAAGCGGCCCCAGGAGCCCCCCCGACAGCCCCCCCCCCGAGCACGCAAGCAAGTGTCAACGACCCGTCGCGTTTAAGAGTCCCCAAGAGGCCACCAAGGGGCCTCCCGAAAGAGTCCCCATAGGCAAAACGCTTCCAGACGGCCCGCGACGCGTTCAAGACTCCCCCAGCGGCCACAAAGAAGCCTCACATGCCGAACGCAAAACCTGATAAAGACAGCCGCCGCCCCTGCAGCTCCACACCGCGAAAGACCACTCAGCGCGCAAGATGGGCCGGCGGAATGAGCGAAGCGATTCAATGACGACGGCCATGGTCAGTTCAAAGCCAGTGCTGGTGACAATTTTTCCAAGCCCATGCCTCTTCTCTGTGCGCACGGGGCCAAAAATGTCCGTGTGCTCGGGGCCGTCCATCATCGACTTCCAGATGCGTCCAATGCGCCGTGAGATCCGATTGTCCTTCTCAAGCCATGAGGGAAAGAGGGCCCCGAGAGAAACAGGACTCACCAGACTTCCACCGAGACCTGCCCTCGTCACGAGCGAGCCCCGTCTGGAGGCCCCCGCGGCCGGCAGCAGGGAACGGAACCCGAATGCGGCGGCATGCGCCGTCCTGACTTCTTCCATGCGGGGTCCCTGGAAGTCTCGACCTTTTCCCAGGGTCGGTTTTGCATCCCAGGGCGGTTTTTGACGGTCTCGGGGCCGACGAGGGCCCCTGGAGGCCGAAGACTATCAACAAGTTCCCGTGATGACTCCTTCGCAACGCGAGCCATGTCTGGGTCGGGACCCCTTTCCCCCAGGCCCCCCTCTTGGCGGCGTGCAAAGGGGGGTAAGGGGGAGGGGGGAAGGCTTCTTAGAAGGAGGCTGCCTCTTAGAAGGTGCTGGCCTTTCATATACAGAGAAGGCCCGCGCCTTCTAAGAATCGGGGGCGCGCAAACATGGATTAGTGAACCATGGATTTGGCGCGCGGTCGCCAAATCCATGGATCGGGAGAGGTGCCCTCCCCAACATGCGGCCGGTGCCGCCTCGCTCGGCGGCGGAAATCCGCCATTTCCCATGGAAACGGGACCCGTCGCTAATCCACGCCCCCTCGATCCATGCTTGCGATCGCCTGATTCTAAGAAGCAGGGGGTGCTTCCGAGAAGCCTTCCCCCCTCCCCCATACCCCCCTCTGCGCGTGGCCGATCCTCCTCGCAGCGGGGAGCCATCCTGGGAGACCCCAGGCTGGCCTCGGAGCGCGCGGAGCTGCGCACCGGACTGCCCGCGGTCTCGATACCGGGCACGATGCTGTGCAGGGTCATGCAGCTGCCGGCGATGCGTCCGGCAGCTGGGCTGCCCTCTGGGCTGCCTGCGGGGGGGGGGGGGGCAAACAACTTCGGGGCGATTCGGGACGCCCCCCGAACGCTCTCGGCGAGGCGCAGCCGCCGGAAGGCATCCTGAGGCTGGGAGGCCGTCGGGAACCGACAGAGACGTCCGAAGGCCTCAGCCAAACATCTCTTCCCAGACATCCGGCGTTCCAAGTGTTTCGACGCGTGGGCCCCGGAAGTCTGGACCACTTCGTTGAGACCGCGTTCCTCATCCTGAGTCGTTTCCTGACGGTCCCAGGGCCCGCTGAGAGCCCTCGGAGCCGGGGCCGAAAACGGCCAAACGCCGCCCGCTCCAACTGTTCCAGGAGCCTCGGATCTCTGGGTCTGTGTTGGCAGCTCCTCCCTCCCTGAGATCCGACGCTGCGAAAAAGCTGCAACCCGCGAAATAAAATCACGACCGGAGCCCCGGACCCGACCTTTCTGCGTCTTGTTTCGAGCCGGATCGATCTGTGAGGGGCCCGATAGGGGATCTTCTGACCCGGGTCAATCCAAGCCCGGGTCAGTCGGGCCTTGCAGAATCCTGCAAGACCCTGGCTAAGACCCTGCAAAATCCTGCGCCCAAGCCCGGGTCAGTGCGAAGGATCCTGCAAGATCCTGCAGGATCCTGCACCCGAGCCCGGGTCAATGCGACCCTGGCCCTGCAGGATCCTGCAAGATCGGGCGCTCTGGCTGACCCCCGTTTGCAGCTACCCCTGTCTCAAGGCTCCCGACCCGAGGTTGGGCGAAAACGCCCGCTTTGAAAGAAATGTAGCGGTTAGGTCGGGCGTGACCCTTACAGGCGGATTTTGGACGAGAGATCAAGAATACCCTTAACATACTCCAGCATGGTCAAAAATGGTCGAAGAATCGCCCCCAGGCTGTCTTGTCTACCCCTCTTGAAGACCCTCCCTCCCGTAGAGGGACACGCCCGACTGGGTGCAACGGCAGGCTCTCGGGGCAGCGTCTGCTCCCCTGCGCCTGGCGGCTCGACCCCCGCGACGCGGCGCGGGGGGGCGGGCACGCCCGGCGGCTCCAGGGAGCCCCCGTGGGGCGCGCAGCCGGGCGCGACCCAGCCGGCCGGGGCGCCCCCGTGCGGCTTGGAGGCCTCTCCGCGGGCAGCGGGGCGGCGCCGACGACGGTCACGACGACGGTCACGACGACCACCGACGACGAACGACGACGACGACGACGACGACGGCGACGGCGACGACGACGACGCCGACGACGACGGCGGCGAGGATGACCACGACGACGACCACGACGACGCGAGCGACGGTGGCGACGGCGACGAAACGGAGACGGCGACGACGGCGGCCACGACGACGGCCATGACAACGGCGGCGGCGTCGACGACGACCACGCCGACGACGACAACGACGACGACGCCGACGACGGACACGACGACGCCGACGACGACGGCCACGATTACAGCGACGGCGTCGACGACGCTGGCGACAGCGACGACGACGAAGACGTCGGCGACGACAACGCTGACGGCGACGGAGACGACGGCGGCGACGGAGACGACGCCGACGGCGGGGACCGACGTCATCGCCCGCCCCCAGGAAGGCCCAGGAAGGGCAGACAGGAACATGCAACACGACTTCGGTCCCCGAACTCCGAGCATCGCGCACGCGAGGGAACGCTCGCGGGAAGAGGGAGGAGGAGGAGGAGGAGGAGGAGGAGGAGGAGGAGGAGGAGGAGGAGGAGGAGGAGGAGGAGGGAGAGGAGGAGGAGGAGGAGGAGGAGGAGGAGGAGGAGGAGGGGGAGGGAGGGAGGGAGGAGGAGGAGGAAGACCAGAGTAGGAGATGGAGGAGGAGGATGAGGAGGATGAGGAGGAGGACCAGAGTAGAAGGAGGAGACGGAGGATGAGGAGGAGGAGGAGGAGGAGGGAGGAGGAGGGAGTAGGAGGAGGACCAGAGTAATTCTGCCCAAGATGCACCAACGATGCTGCAACACACTCTCCTGTCCCAAAGCCCCTGTGTCCCCACAAGCCTTCGCTTTGTTCCTCCGCGAAGTGCCCTCCCTCGCTCGTTTATTTTCGCTCGGTTTGAATTCTCTTGGGTTTAAATACGACGCTCGGTTTAAACTCGCTCGGGTGTAAGTTCGCTCCAGTTAGTTTCGCTCGGTTGAAATTCGCTCTTTTTGTTCGCTCGTTTAATTGTTTAATTTCGCTCGGGTTTAATTTCGCTCGTTGTTTGTTTCGCTCGGTCGATTCCCGGTTGCCGCCTGGAACACCGCCTCCAGTCAGGCAGACCACAAGTCGACAAGTCGCTTGGAGAGTCGAACAAACTCGCTCGAGTTTAAATTCGCTCGGATTTAATTTCGCTCGGATGGGGCTTGCTCAGTCGATGCCTGGTCGCCGCCTGGAAGCACCTCTGCGTCGCTGTCATTTAATGTCGCTGGCTTTTTTTCGATCGTTTAATTTCGCTCGGTTTGAAGCCATGCAGGTGTAAACTCGCTCGGGCGAAAACTCGCTCGATCGAAAACTCGCTCGATGTTTTATTCATTTAATTTCGGTAGTTTTTGTCGCTCGTTTTTTCGCTCGATTTGAAGTCATGCGGGTGCGAACTCGCTCGGATGTAAACTCGCTCGATGTAAATTCACTCGGGTTTTAATGTTTGTTTTCACGAGTCCAGGTCTTGAGAATGTCTCGAGCGAGACGCTTGATTTCACACCTCCAGGTTACCCAGGCAGATGTCTAGCATCAGGATGTGTTGAGGATGTCTCGAGCGGGACGCTTGTTTTCACGCCTCCAGGTCGTCCAGGCAGATGTTTCCCATGAAGAGGTATTGAAGATGTCTCGAGCGAGACGCTTGCTTTCACGCGTGCGGGTCGTCCGGGCGGATGTCTAGCATGAAGATGTGTTGAGGATGTCTCGAGCGAGACGCTTGTTTTCACGTGTCCAGGTCGCCCAGGCGGATGTTTAAATAAGATATGTTGCGGATGCCTCGAGCGAAACGCTTGCTTTCACGTGTCCAGGTCGCCCAGGCGGATGTCTAGTATGAGGAGGTGT